AGATTATATTACACATGAGATCGTATTATACATGAGATCGTATTATACATGAGATCGTATTATACATGAATAAATACGGTATTTATGTAATAACTTATTCACTTTCAAGGCAACCTTTTTATCTTTGTTTAATTTGTATTGAAAAGAGTAAAAAGCCTGAGAATTAAGGTTCTCGAGGGTTAAATAAATAATTTTTATTTGATAATCAGTTGTTGTACTTTATAGTTTTGGAGAATCCTCCTTGCATGTGACTGAAGGGGTACTGGTGGTATGACTAAATGTCTCAGGGAAGCAGACAGGGGTCAGTGAGCCTGTGGTCCGGTCCGGGGGGTTTCTGGGCCATCCTCAGGTGAACCGGCTGGTTTCCTCTGTGTCTCCATGGTAGGACACATGCTGTTGACCATCAGAGGTTTAACACTCACAGCTGCAGCTCTCTGACCTTGTGTGTAACATCATCCAGGTGTCMATCTTTCTGCTGCAATCTGTTCCTTATTTTAAACTTTAGTTTAATGTTTGCCTGAACAACATTATCCTTAAATGTTCTTAAATGTCATATTATAATGTTTTAGACAACTRATGGACATTTTAAAGACATCTTTGTTGACGATGGGAGTTAAAAATCAACTGGAAGCCTCTGTTAGACGTGTGCATCCTGTAACTGACTGATCAAATATAAAACTTTTCACAGGAATTTAGACATAAAAACTCATAAGTTGTGTAAATCAGAAAGTCTGCACAGTTACAGGGACAGCTTGCAGAGCGCTGCAGTCGTCTGCCTGCTGAATAATGAGGCGTGTGCTGCAGGAGCTGCTGCTGTTTGTGTGAAGAACGCTGTGAACAGACCCCCACTGTGAGGGAGGGGGGGTCAGACACACCGTCTGCTTCTCAGGGGGGTGTGAGACCGAGCAGACGCTGTGGATTCACACTGATCGTCAGCATCATCAAGGCCCCGGCACACTGCAGCATTTTACACAACTTATGAGTTTTTATGTCTAAATTACTAAGAAAAGTGATTTATTTCATCAGTTTGTTTGTTTTACTGGATGATTTTTAAATCCATCTTCAACGTCGATGTCTTTAAATGTTCATAAAACGTTACAGAGTGACAGGACCTTCATCTGTCGGCCGAATCGTTCCAGTTCAACCAGAAACAAACGAAACTAAACGTTTGATCAGACGGACGAGTCTGAGCTCGGCCGCCATCTTTAAATACCCAGAATTCATCTGTGTGCAGAACAGTGCACAGAGAAGATAAACCTCTGCAGATATCCGTCAAATAAACTTTATCTGATAAAACAAACCAGGAAACTGTTCAGGAAAACAACAGGTAATATGTGGCAATAAATTATTTATTCATGTACTTTGTGTTTTAATACTTTACTTTGTGTTTTTTTGTAAGAGTTTTAGCTTTAGGAGCATTTTTGCTGCCTTTTTCAGACAATTCTAGTGTGGTTTATATTTGAAAAATTTGTTTATAAAGTAGATTTTCTTATCTGAAGCTAATTTGTTTGA